CCGCCAAGGCCGGCCGCGACCAGCGCAGACCCGCCGGCGACCGAAGTCAAAGGCCCGCAGCCGCAGCAGCGACCGTGGACCACCACCGAGCGATGATGGCGGACACGACCGACGGCGAGGCGCAGGGCGAGCGATCACCCGCCGACGGTAGCGGTGGAGGCGCAGTGGCCGACTCAGTCCTGTCGCTGCTCGTCGAGGAGGTGCGCGAGCTGCGCGACAGCAACAGGGAGCTGCGGCAGAACTTGCTCGACATGCAGCGCCAGCAGCAGCACTACGACCGGCAGCAGACCATGATCATGCGCAAGCTCGACGCGCTGCTCCTCGGCAAGCAGCACCACAACCACCAGCAGCCCGTCGACGCCTCCAACCCGTTCGCCGCCGGGGCCAGCAACGACATGACCGACTACGCGCGCCCCATGTCGTCGTCGCCCTCCGACGACTCGCCCATGCCACCGCACCACAGCGACTCCATCGCTGGCGCCGGCGAGTTCCCCTGGTACGGCAGCACGTCGAGCTCGACGTCGTCGTCATCGCGTCATCGTCGTCATCGTCGTCATCGTCGCCGCAGAGCTCAACGGTGAGCAAGTGCATCCTGCCCACGTTCGCGCCGGCGGCGGCGTCGCGCTCGCCCTCGCTGGAGCTGTACTACTCGGGCACGCCCTCGATTGTCCACGGCCGACTCCCCGCGGCCGAGATCCTGTCCCACATCCCGTTCCTCTCCTGCTACGACCTCGACGCCTCCGAATACCCCTTCGTCGTCGACGATTTCCGGTACAACACCTCACACGCGTGTGTTGGTTGTGTGTGTGTGTGTGTGTGTGTGTGTGTGTGTGTGTGTGGTTTTGACTGAAAGGTTCGCCAGAAAACCGGCTGCTGTGTGTCGCCTGGCGAAGGAGGGCGAGGCCCCTATGATGGTGTTCGTCAACCAGGCCTTCTGCGATGCCACCGGCTACCCCAGCGTACACACTGCCTTCTCTCCTTCCTTGCAAATGTCACTGTTTCTGTTTATATTTAATTGCATTTTCTTTTCTGGCCGCGCAGCACGAATTGCTGGGTTTTCCGATCGAGAAGATCTCCTTCCCCGACTACACCACCAAGCGTTCGCTCATGCCCTACTTCTTCGTCAAGTACGCCCCCGCCACTTTGATTTGGCGGGCCCTACTCCTGGCCTCTTTGATATAATATTCACCTCCTGCGTTGCGTTGCGTGCGTTGCGTGTGGTGCGTGTGCGATCAGGGCGCCGCCGATGATGAGCATCCACATCCCGTGCCGACCGATCTGCGTGCCCAAGAAGGGCGAGTTCCGACGCGTGCTGTGTCGGCACCAGGTCCTCTACAACAAACAGGGCAGGGTACCTTTCTCCCTTCAACCAACCCACCCCCGCGCAAATACCGCCACGCAGCAGTCAGCTGACGTCATTTCTTTTCTTTTCTCCTTTTTTCCTCTTCTTTTTGTTTTCTCCCAAGCCCGTGTGGGTGGCGCTGTGCGTCGACGGCCAAGAAGACGGCCAGGCCTGTCTCGAGTCTGCCCTGCCGCCCGAAATCGGCCCGACCGATGCCTACGATGCCTTCATGCGCGGGTACTGTTCAACATATTTATATATATTGTACCGCGGTGGCACGCCTGCTCTCCATACATATTTATGACTGTTGTGCTGTGTGCTGTGTGCTGTGTGCTGTGTGCGTGCTGGCGTGATCTGTGCTATTAACAGAGATGATCGTAACAGAGTTATGGCTTCAAACTACGAGCGGGCATACAATTACCTGAGGCAGCGCGGCATACAGGTGACCAAGGCCTTCCGTCCTTCCGCTCGCATCATGCCCCTACTGGAGAGCTCGAGCCCGAGCAGCGACGACGGTTCGCCTTTCGTTTTTCGCTTTTTCTACGTACAGCTTTCGTTCTTTTTTTAACTCCCCCTTTTGTTCGCACAGGGGCGCTGCTCGAGTACTCGGACTCGTCGTCCATACCGTCGTCCGGGTCGGCCTCGCCCACATCCACAGCCGCAACCGCAACCGCGCAGTCGCACGACAAGCTCTCCTCGTCGTACGGCCCACCGCTGCCCATCTCGCCGATGCAGCCCCCGCCCTCTCCGCTCTACCCCTTCTCGCCCTATCCGGCGTCGCCCTCGCTCGACGACTTCTCGTGGCTTCTCCGCAACACCGAAAATGCCAGCAGTACCGGCGCGCCTTCGCCCAACACCACCGGAGACCGACGAAAGTCAGAGGTGAACTGAACTGAACAAGAGAGCTCTTCCAAATGTACAACTTTGTGTGGGTGTTGGGTGACGAAAAAAACGATCAGAACGCGTTGGCAGGGAAGGCGACCATGGCCGTCTCACCTCGGCAGCTGGTGGTGAAGTCGGCCTCCTCCTCGATCGTCGCGCGAGGTCCGAAGCTCTCGTGGGCGGTGGTGATACTGTATCCCAACGTTGGCAGCGCCGCACGGCCGCCGTGAAGGTGTCCCCGCGGCGGCGGATGCGGAGCAGGCCACTCTACGTCCAGGGCCATCACGCACTGCACAAACTGCAGTCATGTCGTGTAGTGTGGTTAGCTCTGTGTCTTCGGGCGTGTGTAGTGAACCCTGTGGGGCAAAGGAGGCGGCACGTACGTAGCCCTCGTCGTTATAAAACATCTGGGTGCGCACTCGGGAGGGAACCAAAGAGCCGTCCTTCCGTCGCGCCAGGATGCGGCCGCTCAACACCGGACTGCACGGAACCGAAGCTCTATCTCCGAATCAACCACTAAGAGATGAGTACCGCACACGACCGCGGACACGCACACGGAATCAAGAGGGCATTGTTTACCGCATGGTGACCCAGGACGCCATCTCCTCAAAGTACTGCCTCATCGCCTCGTCATCATCGCATATCAGGTAGCTCGAGCACGATGTACCCAGAAGCGCCTCTTTGGGAGCGCGAACGAGCTCGGCAAAGGAGGGGCTCACGTAGGTCAGCTCGGTGACGATCTCCTGTCCCAGGCTTCGCACCGGCGGCGCTCGACACACCGCGATGGGTTGCCTGGCGTGCGCGTGTGCCACACATCAGCCATTCGTTTTAACTCCGAAAACGAAAAAGAACGAAGCCCAAAGAACGAAGACGGGAGGGCAAGACAGGACTTACCTAGGATCGGAGATAGCAAAGGGCACTGCGGAGGAGGTGATGTTGTAGTGCGAGAGGAAGGGCAGGTGGGCCAGCATCTCGAGCCGCACGCCCAGCGGGACGTTGAACACTTCGCGCACCTGGTCGTAGGCGTACGACGGGATGAGGAGCTCCTTCTGGTAGAGGCCCGTGATCGTCACCCGCGCCGGCAGGTGGTACGACCCGATGCTCCCATAGTACGGGTCGTGGTGGCGCTGCTGACGTGGCGCGATCTCGTCATGACGTCGGCTTCGGCGTTGGTGATGCTCCGCCGCCGTGGTCTGTTGCTGCTGGTGGAGGTGGTGCGGCAGCGCATAGCTGGCCTCGGCCATCGGCTCATAGCCACCGGCCGCCGAGAGCGGGTGCTCCCACCCGGTGAGGGCGGACATGAACGACGACGGCGGCTCGACGGCCGACGGCTGCGGCTGCGGCGGCTGCGGGAGCAGCGCGTCGCTGGTGATCAACGACAGGAATGTGGGCACGACGAAGGAATGCATGTTGTCACCGCGGCATCGCTCGAAAGTTGTGGGCTGCGGCGACGACGACCCCGACGATGAGGTGGTGGGCGACTGGGCGTAGTCGTTGGTGGTGGGGTGGGACGACCGCCGCAGGGTGGGCGGCGGCGGCGATGAGGGCGACGACGAGCCGGTGCCGATCGTCGACGATGATGTGTGTGAGCGCGAGTGTGGGATGAGGGGCGTGACGGACGCAAAGTACTGCTCGTGGAGGCTCTGCGTGTGCCGCACCTCGGCCAGCTCCGACCGCATCGCACGCAGCTCGCGCACCAGGCTGCGCTGTTCGTCGAGCAGCGCCCGCATCGCATCAAACGAGTGCGAGTGGTGGTGGTGGTGGTGCGATGACGTCTCACCATCATCGATGTGCGCGCGCTTGGCCACATGCCGCACCCGCACGTCGTCATCGTCGTCGTCACTGTCATCTTCGCTCTCGCCATCGGCGTCGTCGTCTTCATCGTCAGCCTCGGCTTCTTCGCTCTCGCGTCGTCGTCGTCTGCCAACACAGCGCTGCTGTGGGTGCTGCGTCTGAGGCCGCGCCGCCTCGGCGCCTGCGTCGTGGTCGTCGTCTTCGTCGCCGGAGCGGTACGAGTCCTCGTCGTCGTGCTCCACCTTGGGCACCTTCAGCGGGTGCTCGGCGTCGCCCGGTTGTCGGCGTGGGCGGCCCCGGCGTCGGCCCGTCGATACGTCAACGCACTGGTGCGCTTTGCCCTGGCTCACGCACCGCTTGCACGGCCGAACCCTGGTGGTGGGTGGTTGGGAAGATCACGTAAGCCAGCGAGTTGAGCTGGTACCAAAAGGTGTTTTGTATTTTTTTACAAATAATAATGGTATTAAATTTATATATCTTAATTTGCATCTCTTGTTGTTTTTGCCCAATAAAAAGGGGTCAAATTTGAAAATATTTAGGCAAACGCTACGTGCACACGATTTGAGGCAGATTTGCTTTAATGGATGGGGGAGAGATGGGGCTGGTACCTATCACAGGCGCTGTGGGCAACGCTACACGGACCGCAGGCCTTCGAAACGCGCCTCAGTTTCGGTTTCGCCTTGGCATCTCCTGCCGTTGCGCGTAGCGCTGCCTCCATCAATCCCGTCCCTGGTTGGGTGGCACCCGCCTTCTTCTGGCTCGCCATCTTCTTTCTTTCTTTCTTCTCCTTCTTCCCCTTTCCTCGTTCTCGACCTCTGGTTCTTTGTTTTAGTTCCTTCCGTGTGCGGTCGCGTTGTGTGTTTTGTTTGCTCAATGGACCCAAAAGGACGCCACCTCTCCAGCGCACCGCCCGCTCAAGCCAACTGGCGCCCCGGTCCAACACCCGCGGGTGCGGAAAAAAACTCTCACCCCTCCCCGGGTTGAGGAGGAGCCTGCCACAACCGCGGCCCTACGCTTACGGTGGACAGGCAGATGGCAGAAAGGGCCTTTGGCGCAGCAGCGTGGCCTTCGCTTGGTGATTCGAGAAGAAGTGAGAAAGGAGAGAAGGCGCGGGGCACCGGTGACGAAGAGCGGAAGGTGACGCGATCAGGCAGGGCACGGTAACCGTTCTGCGTCCCGTGGTGTCCTTTTTTACCTGGGCATGAGGCTTGTGTATTTCCGTGGAGTTGTGTGGTGTGGTGGTATGTGTCATGTGGTGTGGTGCGTGTCGTGTCGTTCTCGGGCAGGCTGATGATGTCGGTGTTCTCACCAGCTGCCAGGATTCTGGTGCTTTGGCCGTCGCGGCGGCAAAGCGGCCGGGAGTGGCTGTCGGTCCAGCTCGTCGGCCGGCAGCTGCACTGTCTCACTCGCAGGGGGACTCGTACCCAGCACCTCGTAGTCATCCACCATCAGCACGTAGTACCCCGACTGCGCACATGCCACATGCCACACGCCGCGAAAAAGAGATGAGGGCCTTGATGCACTGTGTTGGTGGTTTGGGGGGGGGGAACATACGAAGCCCTGCTCGTCGTAGAACACCTGAATGCGCGAGTTGATGCGAAGCAGCGACGAGTCCTTTCGCCTCGATAGGGCCCGCAGGTTGAGGATCGGGCTGAGCGGGATGAACGATCTGATCAAGGACCCCGGAGAGAGAACATAGTCGATGGTGGAGAGTGAGTGTTGGGACGCGAACGCACATCTCGGTGAGATGCACTCATTTGAGAATCGGTCAGATGCAGATGAGTGGATGAGTGGTGGAGTTACCGCATAGTGAGGCACGGGAGAAGACCTTTGCGGAAGTCCCGCCACGTGTCGACATCCTCAAGGAGGATAAACTTGCGTATGCTGTACCCGAGAAGCTCGTCCTGGCCAACGGCCATGAGGGTGAGCGTGTGCGGTGGTGCGGTGGGGCATGGTGGTGTGGAGGCAAGGGACTGCTATGAAGTGAGCCGACGTACGATGGAATACTGCGACAGATCGCAAAAGGCGGTGTTGGCAAAGTTGATGCGAGGCCGCAGCTCATCACCGGCATTCCGCTTGTGCATGGCGCAGGCCACGATCGGTTTCCTGCGCCGTGAAAGGATCACCGCGAGCAATCAACAACACTTCGAAGCCGAAAAGAATGAAGAGAAAGAGAAAACGAAAGCAAGAGCGAAAGCGACAAACGTACTCGGGGTCGGAGACGACGAAGGGCACATCGGAGGAGGTGATGTTGTACTTGCTGAGGAAGGGCAGGTAGGCCAGCATCGCGTTACGGGCCGACGGGGATACCCCGAAGCCGTCGAGCGAGTACCGCTGGGGATTGGGCGGGAGGATGGCGTCCTGCTGGTAGAGCGTGATGTTGTCCTGCGCGTGCGTCGGGGCGCCCGGCACGCCAAACTGCTGCCGCTGGACCACCGGGCTCGAAGGCCCTCGCGACGGCGGCGTTGTTGTCGACACCGTAGGCTGCTGCTGCGTCAGGGGCGCCGCACTCGGGGTTGGCGGCTGTTGGGCGTAGATCGATACATTGGAAGAGAGGAGGGTCGACAGCGGGAGCGGGGAGTGATAGGCCGATGACGTGGCCAGCTGAGATAGGAAGGAGGAGGTGGTTACGGCCTGCAGCGACGCGTCGGGCGCTGCCGCTGCCGCCGCCGCCGCCGCCGATGGGGTCGACGAGGTGGCGGTGGTGGCGGCGAAGGAGTGGCCATAGGGCTCTAGGGAGGCTGGGTAGAGGGAGTCGAGCACCGGCGCGGAGGGGCACGACGAGGTCTGTGGCGATGAAGACGACGAGGAGGTGGTGGAAGAGGAGGAGGTGCGGACGGCGGAGCGTGGGGACGAGGGACCCTTGTCGAGCGTGGGAATAAGGGGCAGGATCAGGGAAAACTGCGTTTCGTGCAGGCTCTGCATGTGCCGCACCTGGGCAATCTCCCGGCGCATCTCTCGCACCTCGCCGCTCAGCTTCCTGAACTCTTCCAGCAGCTGACCCGCCACGCCCGAGCTGTCGACACACAGTTGTGTCAGAGTTGAATCGCACATTCCGCACCGCACACGGACAAACACCACAGCACACGCCATGACTCGTACCTGACTTCTTCTCGCTCTGGTACAGAAATGGCCGATTCCTCTCGGGTGTACTGTTGTTCGCCTAACACCACCAACATCAGCCGGAAAGAGCATGAGGCGAAGTTCAATGTAGACAAGAAGTTGTCGCATTCCTGGCCATTGGGTACCTTTAATGTCGCGAAACGTGCCTGTCGACACTGGGCCGCCGAGCACGACCGTTGTGGAGCCTCGTTCTCGGGCCTGGTCCTGTGCGAACATGTACTGCCGGTGCTCCAACAGCTCGCGTTGCAGCTGCTCCAGCTGTCGCTGCTGCTCCTCGGTGGCCCGCTTCGGTCTACCGCGCCGCCGGGTGGAGTACAATTCGACGCAGTCCTCCGGCTTGCCCAGCGCCACGCACCGTTTGCACGGCCGTTCTCTGTAGGTGAGTCGATGACGATGGTGGTGGTGTTAGTTGTGCCGGTCACAATTCGCTAAACAACCGACCGCTGTGTCAAGTGTCGTCCAAGCACATGTTTCACTGCAGTGGAATCACTGTGTGCCTGGTAAGTTTCCATAAAAAGGTGTGTGTGTGGGCCGCACCAGGTAAGCGCCCAATCATGAGCGGCCCACCGCAGTTCACATTTAGAACGGGCCAATCAGCGGTCAAAACAGTGTCTCCATGTTTGCCGTTACAAGGCCGTAATGGGACGTCGCAGGAACCAGCGAGCCACGCGAGGTTGGTGCCTAAGCGGCGGTGTGGTCGGTCCTCCTCGGGGTACCACGGGCTTCTAGACCGAACAATTTGTTGACCACCTACGAGGGTAGTTCCTTCGTCTCAAAAAGAAGACAAGGGAGTGACCTAAGTTGCAGATTTCTTTATCGGCCATACTGCCGCTTTCATGATGATGTTGATGAAGGTTTGAGGCGTCTTATGAAGAGGATGGGTGTTGATTTGCGAACAGGATTACTTCCCGTTCTCAGAGAGAAGAACGAAGAACGCGATGACGAAGAACGATTCAAAAAAACACGAAAAGGGAACAGTGCCGAGGCAGAGCTGAGTTACCTGTCGCAAGCGCTGTGCGCCGACTTGCACGGCGCGCACGCCTTGGACACTCGCCGGCGCTTTGCTTCTCGCGCCTCATCCCTTTCCATCTCTTGTGCGTACGCTCCGTGGAGGCCGTTCGCCCTCGCCTGGCTTGCGTGCTGTCGTGTTGTGAAATGACAAGCCGGCCAACCTTTTTCCTTTGTCGGGTTTGTGGTCTGTCCCTGTTGTGACCTTCCTTCTTTCTTTCTTTTCTACTTCTTTCTTTTTCCGGCCTGCCCCTTTTCGTCAAAATCCCAAATATGTGCTGCTCATTTTTGCGTTAATGTTTCAAATTCCTTAAAATAGTACCTATTTAACTGTAAGCAAAAATGCGCATTTTTGTGTTTGCCTCCGGAATTGGGCCACGAGGCGAAGGAAAGGAAAAGCAGACGTGCCGCTACGTCAGACCTGCCATGGGGGCGTTTGCGGGCGACCGTGTCAGTAATCCGCGTCGCCGTCGCCGGCACCAGGGGACGAGATCCACGCGGGCGGTGGCGACGCCGTGGCGGCGACCGAAGCCGAGCAAGAGGCGGCGGAGGCGGAGGAAGTGGCGGACGAGGACGAAGAGGACGACGACGGGGAATAGGAGATGTCGGAGGACGTGGGTGGCGGCGACGGCGACGGCGAAGCGATGAAAGAGGAGAGGAACGCCTCCTCCAGGGGAGACGAGTCGCCGGGAGCGTCCCCGTCGACCTCTTCCTTCGCCTCCTCCGTGATGCGCGGACTCATCGACGGCATGGGCAACGGAAAGCCTGTGTGGTGGTGTCACCCCAACGAGAGGCAAGCCAAGTCAGCCAAGGAGACGAGATAGTATTGGAAGAGCGGAGAGATGACGGGGCGATGGTGGGATGGAAGGAAATGGAGGAGGGAGGGGTATGTCGTGTGTGTTGTCGGCAAAAGAGGGTAGTGAGGGTGTACCGTTGTGTTGCAGGCCGGGAAGGGAGAGGGGGAGGGTCGTCCACCACTTGGGGAGGCCGGGCAGCCAGTTGATCGGCATCTCGATGACGCCGCTCTCCTCCACGCCGTCCACGCAGCAGATCTTCCACTTGACCTGAAGTCAGACCAAAGTTGCGCGTCCGTCTGTCAGCCGAGCAGCCCAGGAGCTCCACGCACAAGAAAGTGAGGAATGAATGAGCCCACATACCCGGCCGTGCTCGTTGTAGAAGAATTGGACACGGGTGGAGAGCCTCGTGATCCTTCCATTCCGCGGGAGGAACAGGGGGCTCAGCCTGATGACCTCGCTGTACGACGATGGCGGAGCCTCCTACAAAAAAGAAAAAGAAGTAAAAAAGTTAGAAAAATAAAATAGGACAACGGTTCAACAACGCCGACTAAGAAAATAATGATAAAGGATAATGATAAATATTATATTGAAAGGTACCAGGAAGCCCCTTTGAGGGAGGTAGATGCTTCTTCCGGACTTGCTGATGGAGGAGAGCAGCTGGCGCTTGACCTTCTCATCGGGGAAGGAGACCTTGGAGAGTGGGCAGCCAAGCAACTCGTGCTGAGCATGACATATCAAAAGGGGAGATGAAGTCAGATAAAATCACTAGTGGAGCTCAGGGTCAGTGCGGCGGTGAGGGCAAGCAAAGTGTACCAGAGGGTAGCGAACGAGAGAACAGAACGCAGAGTTGGCGTAAACGAAGATGGGTGGTGTGAATTCTTCTCCAGGCATAGACTCCATGATCTGCAAGGCAAAGAACGGTTTCCTGCAAATGCAAGTGACACACGCGCATGTGAACATCAGTGATGTGCGAATGTGTGACGGGCGAAATGGTGCAGTTGGCGTACCTGAGGTGGTCAACGACGAAGGGCACCTCGGGCGACTGGAGGTTGTAGTTGGAGAGGAAGGGTAGGTAGGAGAGGATCTCGGTGCGCGCAAAGTAGGAGTCGTAGCACGGCGAGGGCACGCCGGGCGAAGGGCTGGCGGCGAACATCGACGCCATGAAGGAAGGCGAATGCTGCTGCGGCTGGAGCGGTGGGCCGCTGAGCAGACCGTAGTCGCTGGGGCTGAAGAGCACCGAGGGCGAGTAGGAAGTGATCTCGTGCGGCTGGATGCAGGGCGACGAAGGGAATGACGGGGCGGACGACGGCGCCATTGCCACCACAGAGTTGAGCGAGTCCAGGCGCCTCTCGATCTTCTGCTGGTTCTGGTGCAGCAGGAGAATCTCCTTGCGCAGCTCCTCGGTCGTGTTCTTGAAGTCGCTCGCCACCTGCTCGTTGGACGACTTGAGCTCCCGCAGCTCCTTCATGAACATGGATAGGAGCGGCTCCAGCTGCATCAGGCTCGCACCGCCTGACGACGCGGCGTCGTCGCGGCTGGCCTGGGGCGAGGACGTGGGCGACGATGCCGACGACGAAGGTGGCGATGACGCTCTGCTGCCCGTCGGTGTTCTCTGGGCAGGGGAGGGCGCGCGGACGGTGGCCAGCGGCGATCCGATGGTGGTCAACCTCGACTCGTCGGGCGATGCAGGGCGCAGGGGCACCGGCGGCGAAGAAGAAGAGCCGCTCGCGGCACCGTTGGTCGGCACCGGCGAGCCGTGGGGGAAGATGGGCCGCACGTTGTGCCCAGCAATGCCGCTGCCGCCATTGGGCAGGCCTGTGAACCCGACAGCAAAGGGGTGGTGAGGGTGCTGGCCACCGGTGGAGTGCAGGCCGGGCAGCGGGAACGGCGGAGGCAGAAGCGGCGACAGCGGAGGCGTGTGCGCGCCGTCTGTGACGGTCTGACCACCACCGACCTTGCAGGCCAGCGGAGGTTCTGTGGCGAAGTGCGGACAAGAGCGTGAGCGACGAGTGGCACGGAAGGGGCGACGGTGGATTAATCCGCATCACTCACCTTCGGTTCTCTGTCGCTTGGCCGGCGTGGGAGGAGAGGCGGCGAGGGCCGGGTGGCCGCAGGTGTCCCAAGCCGCCGCGTCGGTCTTGGACGACCTGGACCGCCGGCCCTTCTTGCGGAGCTCGGGGTCGACGCACAAGTCCGCCCTCCCCGCGGCCACACAGCGCTTGCACGGGCGTTGACTGCCACGTCCACCACGGTGGGGAGATAAGGGGGAAGGTAAGACGGGCAACGCGTGGAGGACTTGGCACGTAGACACCCCACCAAATAGACACCCGTTGCGCGGATAAGCAGCGAATCTCGTGGTAATTTCGCATTGTTGATAATTAACTAATTAAATAGCAATACTGTTGAGTCGTAAAATGACCGATATGATCACAACCACTTGACAACCTTGACAGGACCCATGGCCCACGCCCGACATGTCACCAACCCGGGACGGGAGAAGGAGAAGGAGAAGGAGGGAGGGAAGCGGCACCTGTCGCAGGCCGTGTGGGCCGACCGGCAAGGACCACACGCCCTCTTCTTGGGCTCCACGTCGAAGCACTGGTCGGCCTTCCCGACGCCCACGCAGCGCTTGCACGGTCGTTGCCTGTGGTGGCGGAGAGAGGGAATAGGGAAGAGAGATAGAGCGTGAAGGAGATTGAGTAGGGAAAAGGGATTGGTTAGCAAGTCGGGCACCAAGATGAACACCGTGCAAGAGAGCGCCAGTGTAGGTGGGAGGGAAGAGAAACAACGAGAGCAGGAAGTATTAAAATCGAGATGGGCAAAGCGGAGGACTTCATTCTTTGATATAAATCAGTGAAGAATGTGCGCAACGTACCCGTCACAAGCGGTGTGTGCGATCTTGCATACGGAGCAGGCGCCACGCACCTTCGTGTCCGTCGCTCCTTCATCTCCTCCCTCCGTTTCGGATGTGGTAACGTCGCGCCTGATTTTCATCTGTTGACCGCAGCAATCTTTAGTTGGCGAACTGCCCACGGTTGCCATATACTTAAATTCAGCATGATTGATTTAAATCTAGGTGGTGTACCTTGCGCTTGCACACAACTCGGTGTGTGTGGTGTTGTGTCTTCTCTTGCTTGTGTTTTTTATTTTTATTTTTTGTGCGCAAGTCGCTTCTCCTCCACAATTTCCACGTTTGGGACAATTCTGTATCATCTCCTTTTTGGGAGTGTTGGCACGCGAAGCATGCTCCACCGCTTTCGAGGAATTTGCGGCACGAAATGCCGCCAGATTTCTCTTTGCTGACGCGTTCATCGATCAGAAACCTGCAGCACCATTATCGTAATCATAAAACAAAGGATTCGTACGGAGCGTAGATATTTGACAAAGCAATCAAGTGATGAGACGAGTGAATGCGCTAGGCGGCGTGCAGTCGTGGAGTGCGGCCAGGTCGGGTTTCGCCATTTCGCGGGGGGCATCTTCGCCATCTTTTCTCCAATGGCCCCATCCCAACAGCAGCATGCTGTCATCAGGTATGGAGCCTCCCACATCTTGCCTCGAACGAAACTCCACAGTTGCATCGTCATTTAATAAGATTATCCATCATTTGTAGATGCGTTAGGGGTGGGCATGAGCGTACGGTACGCCAGCACCACTGTGAAGGGGAGAGCGGGAGCCAAGCTTCGCACTCGAAAGGAAACGACAACTGGAGTGGTTGCGAAGAGGCAGCGAGTGCAAAAGGCCAATGCCACAGCGGAGGAGAGGGAAGACTACAGCACCACCACCACCTCCACTACCACAACCACCGCGAGCGCTGGCCGTGCGGCCGGTACGAAGAAGGCCCGCAAGTCGAAGGCGAAGACTCAACCACAGGAAGACGCGAAGCAAGAGTACGATAAGGCCCAGCTAGGCGAGGAGCCCAGCACGCCTCCACTCGTGGTCTACCCGCAGACCCTCGTGCCCAGCAGCGTGCTCGACATGATCTCTACTCCGCAACAAGGCAAGACCTCCAACGGGGTACGTGCACTCACGTTGGATGATGCCGACCTGGAGCGTGAACGCTCACACAAGCGTGTTTGGTGTTTGGCTACGTAGGGTCCAGCGTCTCTCCAACTCAACGCCATCTTCATCTGGCCCAAGGCTGTCCGGGCGATGCTCGTGGACCAGAAGAGGTGAGAGCTCAGCGCCACTGACAGTTCAGTAGTTGGTGGTTGGTGCTGATGACTTGCGCTGCGTGCACACGATACAATGACACCACCAGAATCCAGAAGCAGAAGCTGTTGCTGCAGGCGCGACACGCGGAAGAGGCCAAGATCGTGCAGCCCGCCGCTGCTCTCGATGCTGCCGCGGCCACCGCCACTGCCACGGCCGCCAGCGATACCCACGACCAGTCCGGCCAGGAAGGAACCAACCAATAAATACCCTCGTCTCCTGTTGTAAGCTTCATGCGTTTCAAAACTGTAGACAAAGATTAAACTTCAAGGCGCATTTCAAATGGAGGGCGTCCAAACCTTCGGGTTGCGGAAGGCGTGCACCCTGTGCCGCCAGGCACATGTAGGCTGTGATGGGTACGTGGACGGTTGGAGGCAACAACGTCGTTAGTATTTGTGCCCCCCCCCTCACCCCCGTTTTACAAATCTTCATTTTTGCAGAGGGCATCCGTGCCGTAGGTGTACGGCGTCAGGGCAGGGCGACCAGTGCAGGTTCCTTCCGTCACGTAAGCGCGGGCGGCCACACAAGAGCACGATGCAGAGCAGTGGAGGGCCTTCTCCTCCGAGCGTTCGCCCCAACCACCAACACCAGACGGCAGCCGGGCACCGGCGAATTGACGGTGTGCCCTGCTTTCCATCTCTTGCTCTCGGCCCTCCTTGATCACTGCTGCCTAACACGGGCGCCCGCGTTGGCAGGCTCACAGGCGGTGCCGCCACCGATGACGGCTGTCTTGCCTCCCTTGGCCATCCGGCCAGCTCCCGTGCGACCAGCGTTCGCTGGCCCAGTCGCACCCAACACGTTCGCCTCGCACATGCTGCCCACATCGACAGCGCCCACCGCACCGCACCAACGCCACAGGACTGACGAGTTGCTTGTGGCTGCACACGAGTCGGCCAGGCCAGGTGGTACGGTGCTGCAGCACGAGGAGCAGAAGGAGGAATCGAGTCAGCAGGGCTCCTCCATCCTCTCGCTACTGGTCGAGCAGCTGCGGGACATGCGCCGCGAGAACCAGTACCTACACAAGAGCCTACGCAAGCTCAACTCGCGGCAGAAGAAGTTCAAGCGCCGGATCAGCGACGTCGAAGAGGAGAATCGGCGACTGCTGTCGCTCGTAGCGGAGAGGCATGAGTCGACTACGCTCCGCACTCGTATCTCTCAGGGTCCGTTCTCGCAGCCCATTGATCCATCGCTCTACAGCGGCGGATCCTCGATGTTGCCTCCTCGATTGCAGGCGATCAAGCAGCTGCTGCCGTTCTTGGGAGATTACGACCTGCGTGCTGCCGAGGTGGCCATCGATGACCTCAGGTGCGTTGACCCACCTCTTGTAGGGATTGCTTGCGAGGTTCTGCCTATGTTGCTCACACCACCTGATCATCGCACGCAACGCACACCACACGAATGACAACAGCAAACCGTTTGCAGCGTTCATGATGATTGAAGATCGAGACGCCTGGCCACGCTTCCTCTACGCATCTCCCTCCTACTGCCGATTATTTGGCTACGACCAGGTTTGCTTTTAATTCCTTCATTTCTTTCTCTTCGTCCTTGGCTGCCCACGGTCTAACCAGTTTGCGCGGGCAGAGCGAACTCGCTGGGATCGACTACGAACCGCTGTGCCACCCGATGGACCACGTCTCCTGTGAGGTGGCAGTACTCTACACCGAGCGACCGGAACACACAAGGTCCCCCATTGGACCCGTATTCCATACGACGCCCATCATGCTGACCAAGACGGGCCGCACGCTGCGCCTACTGGCGCGCTCCCAGTACTACTTTACCCACGGAGGCCAGGTGCGCATCTTCAACATTTGCGGCTCGCGGCTCTGCCCCTGGGAGACGTTCTATTCACCCCACAGGGCGCGCACACATCAGGCGAAGTGGCATCTCAACACGATCGACGCCATCCTGCCAGGGGAGTATCCAGGGGAGGACGCGCGGTTGGCCCTCAGCCCGCCGCTGGTCCAGACGTCGCCCGGCTCGGCCTACGCTGCGCTCGTCTCGCCACCCCACCCCATCTCCTGCACAACGCCCAACGGCAGCAGCAGCTTGGGTGATTGGGAGGCGGATCAAACCCTGGCCTCGGAGGGCAGTCTCGGCACCGAACACGACCTCGACGAGCTGCTCAACGCTCTGCACGACCCGTAGGCGGATGGCCACTGGTGATTGCCCGACCCACAAACACGACACACGCAAGCGGGGTTTAGCACGGCTAATATCCGATTGGGGCACGTTTGGACGGTTCAAGGTCCGGTTTTCTCGCCGGGAGACCGCTTGCCGAGAAAGAAGAGGAGGCGAGTTGGAGGGAGAAAAAGAAGATGGAGGCCATCCAGTACGTGGGCTTGAGGAAGTCGTGCACGTTGTGCACCCAGCAGCACGTAGCATGCAATGGGTAATTATGACTTTACTTGTTGAATTGCTCCTGTCCCTGCCAGTCAATTCCCCCCCCCCCAATGCTACGCCTAATCTTTGCAGCAGGCTCCAGCCGTGCCAGCGATGCATCGAGTGGAACAAGGGCGCCCAATGCGAGTTCCTTCTTTCGCGCAAGCGCGGCCGGCCCCAAAAGCAACCGACCAACTCATCTTTGGTGGCGGGTAGCACCAGCACCAGCAGCAAGAGGCATCAACCGCAGCCACCCACCTCCGCTGCACCCCAGCCGGCAAGCAAGCATCTCCCGCCAGAAGGTACTCGGCCTCCACCATTTTGGTCCTTCTTCCTGGAAAATAATCAAACTTCCACCACCGGCCGCAGCGGCCAGGACGTCAACACATCTGCTTGCAGGAGCGGTCGGCCACCACTCGCAGACCCCGATGCTGCAACCACGCGCTCGGGGTTATATAGCACCGTCAAGACCGACCACGACGACGACAGCGACGACAGCGCCTGCGTTACGGTCACACACGATGGCCAACGCGTTGGCAGTGCACCAGCAACAGCAGCAGGATGCTGGGCTGCCGACGTCGCTCTTGACCATGCTCGTCGAGCAGATGCGCGACCTGCGCAAGGAGAACCGTCTCTTGCTCGACCGGGTGACGTCGCTGCAAAACCAGCAGACCGTGTTCGAGCAACAGATGGACACCGTGCGCGAGGGGGCACAGGCCAACGCAGCCTGGATGCTGGACCAGCTGGCCAGGCGGCACGAATCGATCACGCTGCATGCACGCATGTCGCAGGATATGTTCTCGCAGCCGATCGAACCGCACTTTGCTTCGCGCTGGGCAGCGCTCACACGCATCCTGCCGTTTTTGACGCACTACGACTTGCCGCAAGAGCTGATCATCGACGATCTAAGGTCCGCGCATCCTTGCTTGCCGTGTGTCGTGTCGTGTGCACACAACCTCACTCTCTCTAGTGCAGTAAACCGTTTGCCGCATTCTCTGTCCGAGTGACTCCGCAAGGGGAGCTGCTGGCCCTCTACACCTACACGTCTCCCAGCTACGACGAGTTTGTGGGGTGCGAACCGGTACGTCGGTCCCATGTAGCACCTCCGCAGTCCTCTTTCGTCTGACCCCGGCGGTCTGTCGTGTGCCGCCAGGGCGAGCTCTTGGGCAGCCATGTGACCACCTTCTGTCATCCCGAAGACAACGTCACACGGGAGACCATCCTTTTCTATGTGGCGCAGCCACCGCCTCGATCGAGGGTGGGTCCTATCTTTCACACATCCCCGGCCGGTATCTCCAAGGACCGGCGGGTGCTGCGCTTCCACTCTCGGCACCAGTACTTCTTCACCACCACAGGACGGGTACCCATGTTGCCAATCGATCAATCCATGCGCTCAGCGCCTTGCAGACCGCTGTGAACACTCTCTCACATGATGGACATTTGCGCAGTGTGCGTGGTGTGTCTCGGT